TGAACAAGACATCGTTCGGTGGGGAAACGCACCCTGTGATGCATGCTAGAACCAGCAGCAAGGTTAGGAACCCATTCAGTTTTGAGAAGGCAGCTGAAATGAAATCTGTGTGAGCTTCCTGTGGTCTCAACCAAGGCCTCTCGGGTTCCTTGGATCTAGAGATCAGTCATCCCTCCAGATTTCTCATGGATCATCATGAGCTTTGGCAGGCGTGGAGTTGCCTCTGGGTACACCACAATGTGTGTGGGAAGGCCCACAGTCAGTGGACCGCAGCAGAGCCCATGGGAAGGGGAGCCACTGCAGACCACCTCCTACAGTCCCTTTTACATCCCTCTCTGCACGGTGCAGGGTGGGAACCCCAAAACCCATGTCATTTACCATCCTGCTCTGGAGGAAGCGTGGCAGCTATTTAGTGTTTCTTCATTTAGTCTGTGATACTCCTTTGGACTCCCCTGATTTCTCTGTATCATCCCAGTGCCTCAGATCCTTTAAGTGATCATGACTAAAGATCTCCTATTTAGTTTTCAGAATCTGTCTGTCATCCAAAGACGGAGGACACCAGTTGCTCCTCGTCTTACAGGAGAAGCAACTGCCTGGAGCAAGCTCTCTCTGCTGTGTGCTCCTCAGAAGATGAGTACCAATTTCTGCTGCCGGAGGGAAGCAGCCTGACAAACATCCACACTGGTTCCATGCATCATAGTAGGATGCATTTGGCTCACGTGGGGAGTCAGTACACATGTGCTGACCCCTTGGATTTGCCTATACTTATCCCTGCGTGCAGATTTGCCTTCATGCCGACGGTGCACCCCTAATTCCTGATTTCTGCTAAAAGCAGGCAAGTTTTCTAGTAAAACAAGGAAAAGATTTGTCTTGCAAGACTTAGGATTCAGCTCTTGGTACAAGATTGGAAACAGATGGCCATAAGTAAAACAAACATCCAAACTCTTCCAGTTGCTCGAGCTCTCTGCTTAGCCTTACTACAGCAACCCTCTGGGACACAGCTCTCCCCATATTTGAGAGTTTCCAGTTTTCTTTCTCACCATCTCTGGTGGCTGCCAACTTTGAGAGCTGTTAATCTCCTCCTCTGCCTTCAGGACCCAACCTCTCAGGAAGGGATGGGGCAGATTTACAGAAGGCAGGGCGCTACCCCAAACCAGGTGATTAATAATAAAATTAGTATCAGTTGTTATTTCCACTTCACAGGTAGGAACAGGACTGCAGAGGGATATACAGTGAGTCTGCTCTGCCAGCCTTCCTCCTTCCTTGCTGGCTTGGAGAAGAGAGGGGACGGTGCAGGCAGGCTGCCCCAGGGAGGTGGGGAAGCTTTCCAAGCCCAACAGTGTTTGCTGCAGGGTCCCCGCCATGTTGCCAAGGAAAAGTCCCATGAGTGGGCAGCATCTAGAAGAAGCTATCTTCCATTCACAAGAATTATCTTGCCAGATTTATACTTTAATAAAACCTAATGAAGAGCAGAGAAAATATCGAATAATGAATCCAATCCAAACCCCAGTGAGGCAGGTTTTAAGGCCAGTGCAGCTGCACTGAAGCAATGGTTTTATTTCATTGGATTTTTTTTACTTTTACTTGCTGTAACTTTTCTGTCTGACTAACCCCAGGTGCTCAGCTACACTTGTCTTTACAATTCCAATTAAACCATTCATGGTTGGATTCTAGTGCTTCATTTCCCGTACAAGAAAATTACACAGTGAGAGACAGGATCTTGACGTGGCTCCAAAGGGAAGCCAGGCACATGATAGGACCTTCCTCAGAGGGGTCCCCTTCAATTCACAATAATGAGACCTGGTATCAGGGCAGAAAGAGCACTAAACACAATGCAAAGCCCAGGAATTGCCCACGACTGAGAACTGCGATCTGACCTGTGGCTCAGGCTGCACTGGGCTTTAACATCTCTGAAAGCTGATTGTGGGAATGTGGGTAAAGACTGACTCAAATATTATGTTGGAGTGACCCAGAAGGTGCATCATAGAGAAGAAAAGAAATCCACAGGTCAGCATTCTTCCACCACTCGCCTGGATGATGGTTTAGTTCAGTGTTACTGGTTTCTCTGCCAGCCTTGCTGATGTTTACTCTGGAGACCTGCCTGCTAAAAACCAGCCAGAGGCTCTACTATGGTAATCTGATATGTAATTCGTACAGTTTAAATATACTATACTCCACACTGCCGGGAGTATTGGGGTTTGACCACAAGTCATGGTCCTGGAGATATGTGGAGTGCATTGGTGGAGAAGGAGAAAAGACATCTGATGAGCAGAATGCAATCTGGAGCAGCCCTAAAGCAGCACCCAAAGGCATCTGAGCTCCTCCACTGTAACGGTCTCAAAAGAAGTGATCTCTGTTCAACAGTCAGAAGTGACCCCATTTCCAGACCTACTGTAATTGCCATGTTCAGGCTGAAAATGGTAATTCTTCCATGGTGGAGCTGAGACCCAGAGAAAATTCTGCACAGTGGCAGCTTTAGAGGACAGGCACGGACTACAGTAGTCAGTGCACAACGGAAATCACTTCCTTCTCAAATAAGGCACCTTAGAGAAACTCCTTCTGCTTTGAAGCCAGCTGACAGCACTACATCTGACTATCCACACCAAAATCAACTCAGAAAGGATGGGATTAAAAACTGGAAACTCTGCCACTAACCAGCAGACTGTTACAGGGAGCTGCTGCTTATTTTTAGCTATCTGACAGCATTAGATATCTCTGATGTAAATTATAGGTTGTGTACAAGACCAACTCAGAAATTGTTGCAGTGTGAACCACACTGAGAATCCAGGCAATGCAGGAAAGAGACAAGTTTAATTTAAACTTTAGATGAAAATCAAAAAACCTTTAAGAAAAAAAGAGGGAAAAAACCAAACAAAAAAATCACATCCTCTCACAATTATCTATTTTTAACAGATTACTCCATTATCTGCAAAGACATGAGGAAAAAAAAAACAGAACAAGAATGTCATGCCAAGATAATTATGCAGAAGGTAAAAAGCAATGCTGTGGTATGCCTAGAGACATGATTTATTTACCTTGTTTCTCCACATCCTTCAGTGGGTCGACTCCTGGGGACAGGATAAAAAACATTGGGGTTGCAGGTCCTGATTCCTCAAAGGTTGTTGCAAAATCCAGGGATCTCCCTACCACATATTTACTGCCAAGCTTTTCTTCTACAAAATCTCTGCCAGAAAGAAAAGAGTTTTGCCAGTCTACTATTGTTCAGAAAAGACAGATTCCCTTCAAATAATCAATTAATCAGTTTTGATTTTGCTGATTCAAGCAAATTAGAAACTAAATGAAAAAAATGGGCATGAAATAATTTTAGAGAGGATCTGCAGGCTGGGCTTCTGGAGTTATAACTCAGTAACAATGTTTGGCACTTTTTACAGGGGTAAAATGATACCTGGCACACCAATATCTGACAAATGAAAGGAAGTGAGAAGGGAAAACAGTAGGACCTACCAGCCCGATGCTGTATTCAGAAGTTCAATACAAGTGCTAGCTTGATTCTGACAAAGGTATCTCAGGAGAGAAGAAATAATAGTTAATATATAGAAAACGGCTGCGTACTTTGTAATCCATACAGCCTTTGAAAGTATGGATTCAACATTCCTTTAGATTTATCACCAAAAGTCACGAAAAGTCCAGGTGATTTACAAAATTACTTCGTTCTGGAAAGATAAAAGAGAAGAGCTCTAAGAGCATCTAGCTCATGTAGTGCTAAGGGGCTAAGGCCTCTGCAGTCACAACGAAAAATACAACTGAGTGAACGGGAAAAAATTCAGCTCCACAGCAGGTGCCTGAAGAGAATACAGTGCATGGAGAACATTCAGGTTGAATTTCCTTAGGGTGAGCTTCCAAAATCACTGCTTTAGAAAAAAAGGATACAGTGAACATCATTGATTCAAAGGTAAGAATGTTATATTCAAACCCCAGGAATGAGCAGTTAGTCTTCTAGTATAGATGCATGACTCAGGCCTTTTGAAAACCTCAGTACCATGGGGAAGAAAAATATTGGCCAGTTTTCACCTGGTAGATGATACCAGAATAAGGCAGCCAAATTCTTTCTAAGAGAGGTGAGAGTCTCCTTCAAGGACTAGTGAAAGGCTGTTGGAATAGAAATGCCTAAGGGATTGCAAAAGAAAAAACTTCCACTTTGTTTGGTACCTCTTTCAAGTAGATTTTTCTGTTCTGGGTCAAGATTTGCTGAAGAGCTGCTGGAAAGCTTCAGTTCACAAAATTTTAAAAAGTCCATCAGATACAAGGTCACAACATTCTTGTTTTACATCAACGCTCAGCTCTATGAAAGGATGCCTTGGAGATTCAGAAACACAACTCATGTGACTTGGAGACTTTGAAATGGACCACACATGCAGAAAAGGAAGGCCTGCCCTTGGAGACAGGACCAGAAGAGTGCCTACACTTGGTATCTTTCAAACAAGGTATTCACAGGTGTGGTTCACAGTATAAGCAGTAGGATTTGAGAAATGGTGCCAGAACAAAAAGCAAAAATACCCTGCAAGACAAATGACTGGCTTACAGCTTTTCTAGGTTATATGAAGCCACAGCTGCCGAAGATCCTTTATCTGAAAAGTTCATATAAGTCTCATAACCATGGCTGGAGGTGCCAGCTACCAGAGTCCTTAGTCCTTCCGCATTGTTTCAAAGGTCTGTGCCTCAAGGCAGAAGTACCAGTGCTTTTGGAAGGACTTCACCATGACCAAGTTATACCTTGCTAGTAGCTGCTGTACTGATCTGAACTCATCATGGGAGCACAAGGTGTTGCAAAAAGCTCCTTGCTGTGTTCTTCAATAAGATTGAAGGGTGAAATAGGTATTTACACTGGAAAATCCCTCTTGAGGAAATTATGGTTCTTGGTAACGGACAACGGAGCACTGCCCCCACCTAAACTCTAAGGAGTGAGTCAGATTGAGTGGTTTCTCCTGATGGTTCCTTAGGCCTAGGGAATAAAACAGCCTGTGCAAATATCCCCAGGGATCTGCTACGAAGAGTGGCTGAAAAACCTAACTTCTAAGACAGGGAAATGCAAGAAGCCTGTACAGGGTGGATCATTTTAGATACCAAAGAGCTTCCTACACCATCTTCATGGAGCTGGCACATATGACATGGGACATAAAGGGTCTTTCAGAACAGCAGCTGGAAATGAGGTAGGGATATTCTAGGGCATCTAAAATACCCCTAGTCACCTGTTTAGACTACCAAGTTATTCCTTGACTTCTAAAATGCACTCAAGTACTTGCCAAGACTTTCAGAGAGACAGGAAGGTTAGGACTAGTAGTGATGTCCATTGATCATTAATAAGGTATTTAATATTAGCAGATTTAACAGATACACAGAAGGAAGAGATCTGCAACTTGAGAACTGCAAAAACAAGTTGTGGGATCCAACGACACTGCAGGTATCTAAAACTCGATGAATTTGTTAACACGCACATGATCTTGAAACACTACTGTCTAAAGTAGGAATGTTGAGGCTGAAGTCCTCATGGTCAAAGTATGCAGCTCCCCAGTGCTCTACAAGATCATCTACTTTTTGGAGAGTCACAGACACAACACAGACACCAGATGACCATTAGCCTTCCGCGTGGCGGCTATCAGGAATGCTGACTGTATTAAGCTCAATCCAAAAACCGCTTTTCCTTCCTACATCAGACTACTAGACTTCATCGACTGACATGAGAAGGACAGATGAACAGACTCATTTATTTTCCAGAGAGGTGGATCTCTTAGGAACAGTAAATTTCTTCACTGAGGGAACAGTATCTGTCTCAGCCAGACTGCTGGCTGAAGAAAGGTTTGAAGAGTATAATACTATCAAGGAGGAACCAGGAAGTCAAACACATTTTGACTGTCGTTACCACTAATAATTTTACATTTGTTTTTGGGGTATGAGATTTCCCCAAACAAAAGCTCTTCTTAAGCCTTTTGGACCTGACTATCCTGTATTTCAAGAAGAATTTTAGTCACAAACAAAGTCTTGGAGAAGATGCTGTGAACTGTTACTGTTCGCACATGTTTACGTTCTAACCTACTTCTAGATAAGAAATGAAACAAAAAAACATTTAAATACTCTTGTGCAAATGGAAAAGCTTGACATGCCCAGACCCTAAAAATATCCAGCCAAGCTTTTGAATTTGGATTCCCTTACCTTTTCATAGAAGAGAAATATGAAAGGTGTTGAAACCTTATGTTCTGTTTATTTTTCAGCTATGTGAGTACCACCATTTTGATTGAAAGAAATGAATTAAACTTGCTTAAATGAAATATGCACTTAGAAGTTCAGAAAGAAAGAGCTTATTTTACTCAAACTAAACAACAACATGAAAAACAATCTTTTCAGCTGAAAGAACACATGGAGAATCCAGCCCTAAAAGAGTAAGAAATGAAAAAGAGATGATTTAGAATGGTATGATTATAAGTTATAGTATTTCATTTAATAAAGCATAATAACATTGACCATAGGGAGACTTCACTCAGTCTTGTCTGCATTTTTCTGTGAATCTTAAAGCCACAAACAGAAATCTAGCTCATACGCTGAGTAATACAATCTGCTACACGCACCCATATACATGCACATGCCAGATGGTGGAGCAATATAAACTATTTGTGAGGCAGTAGCATGAGAGACATTGCAGAAATGTCAAATCATAGACTACTAGGACAGAAGAGGAAAAAACAAGTCCTAATGGAGTGAAAGACCTTTAGTTTCTCCTGGAACAAGCATATTGCTTTTGCGTGCATTCATAAAGTTCAAACTTGCCTAGTTACCTTCACTACATAATTTACAACTATAACTTTCAAAACCAGCATTTTAAAGGGAAAAAAAAAAAGAAAACCTCTATAAGACTTTCCTTTACTTCTACTTTATTCTTGTGCTTAAGGAACAGCCATAAAGGATCTAGTAACTAAAATAGACCTTAATGAACTCTAGAAGTTGTATTGATCATTAAAACACTCTAGCATATGTATAACACCTGTACGATGATGCTTATTTCTGACTTGGCATGTCTGCTCCTCACCCAGTGCTAGTTAAACTGCTCCATCACTATTGGTGATATTGGGATTAGATCTCCCTAAGCAAGAAATTCCAGTTAAATGAAATGTTTTCACTGTCTTGCAGAGTTCAGAGATGACTCGTTCAGCAGACTCCTTTATAGGAAACCACTTTGCAGAACTCACATTCTATAATAAAAAAATCTAAACATACTCCTGAATTACTCCTGTTCCCTAGAAAACACAGACCCAAAGTTGCCTGCTAAGCAAGAGCATTACAGAGATAGTAAAGAAGTGCCCCTACCTGACAGCATAGGTCATGCGATCTGGTCGGATGGCTCTCATTATGCACAGGCGCTGAAGAGCTGACTTATTCTTCCATTCCTGAGGGAACTTTTCCTTTTCAGGACACTCAGATTCAACAAATTTCTTCCACCGTTTTGCAGACCCCTCAATGTCCCGATCCAGGTTTCTGAATTCCTCCATGGATGAGAGAGTCTGGAAAAATTCAAGGAAGGTCTTCAGAAGAACAATCCTACATGCCTCTGAACTGTTTTTCTAACATTACTGACTGCTCATGTTTTGCTTCACCAGAATGGTCATAGCTGGAGCCTGGGAAACACAGCCAGAAATCCACCAGGATCAGACTTTGTCCATTCTCCTTTTCCTAACTCTGTTGTCAGCACATTGTCACCGGAACAGGAATCAACACAGCCCATTTGCAAGGCCACAGGAAAGTATGGCTGAGGACAGTTTCATACTTGTGGAAGGCCTTCTGAACTGAAATGTGTCTCAAGGCTGCCCACAGAATGTCAGCTCTAAAATCACGCTGCACCTAACACAGCATTCCCTGATGCTCTCACCCACATCACTGCAATGCCCTTCCCCAGCCAGTGAAGCCACACACAGCGTCCAGGCCTTCTCCCTGCAGGACAGTTGCTGAGACATGGGAGTTTGGAAGCGACAATACAGGAAAGGATGAAAGGATTTGGCATCATCCACAATGCAGTTCTCCATAAACCAAAGCGAGAAGAAATCTGCTCTCCTATTTTGAAACCAGAATTGAACTGAACCAGCACTTACTACTGTCAGTTATCCCAGAAATGCCTGATTTAGATGGGAGCTGGAAATTTTGAGCCCATGTCTGACAGGAGAGCACATTGCTGGCATTCCCACGAGCTGCAAGTCTGCAAACAGTCTCCTTACTGCTTCAACTGACACAAAGAGAATTGTGCAGCAAAAACCACAACAACTGATGGAAAAATGTGCTTTTGTATCCAGGGTGCTCAGTATCCAAAGCTAAACAGAGACTCAGGCATGCCATGCTCACTAAAACTGTTTTTTTAAGGGATTTCACAGTTGGAATATTAATTATCTTCATCTTTACACACATGAAGTTATTTTTCTCGCCCTGTTCCCCTGCGCATATAGCTCTCTACCTGCATAGTCTGGTGCACACGCTCTGTGAAACCACAACAGTGAGATGTCACCATGCAGTCGTGGTGACCACGGAGCCACAAATTTCAATAAACATAGTGCAAGCTATAAATGGGTGGGTGCTTTCTTTGTACAAGCATGCATACCACACTGTGCCATTGTAAAAACAAATCACTCAGATTTATACTTGCCAAATGCACACAAAGATTAAATTCTTGGTGGTACAAGTCTGTAACAGAAACAGGTAGCTGAAGAACACCCCAAAGAACAGCTGAGCAAGGCAGTAAATAAATGATAATTACAATAAAAATGTAGCTAGATTTTGTAGCTAGAAAGTGGCAACTATAAATGTTATGCAGAGAAGTAAAGAATCCAAATTATCTTTCATACAAGTGGTGGCAAAACATATTGCACAGCTTGTAAGGTTCTTTGGCTTTCAAGAAAAATTCTCACTGAAACAAACATCTTCAGAGCATTTTGCATAATCTGAAGCTGTAAGCAGTTGAACATGAAGTGGAAAAGACAAGTGAAGGATAAAAGACAGTGAATGAGCTATTTTCTATAGAAACAGAAGGAGACACTCAGAGCGAAGCAGAAGCTTCTTGATGGGCAGAGGTGTTCTGCACCATTCATGTTCCAGCTCACACCCCAAACAGCTCCACTATGGAAAGCAACTGAGAAAGCTCCATGAAAAATGCTGGTGTCACACTTCGTTCAGATCAACTGAAAAAAGATGCACTTGCCAAAGGGCTTTGAAAGTCATGCAAATGCCCTGACAGAAGTGCTGAGAGATTGCCTTGGATACGATGCTGTTGTAAATGAGGCAGAAGACACTGAAGCCCACTCTGCTCTAAAAACTGCAGGAAAGCCACGCTTTCCCTCTGGAAAGGCTTCCCAATGAGAAGACAAGAGCAGTGTAAAACTTTGGTCTTTCTAATAGACTGAATTTAGTTAGAAGCCGTACTTCAACACAGAGAGCAAACAAGGAGAAGGAAGGAGTCAGAAAAAGGGACTCCTTATAACAAATGAGTTCACGTTTTTAGCAGTGGGAATGCCTGTGGATGACAGACAGAAAGAGGTTATAAAGCTGTTCCCAATGGGTGCCATTGACGCAGGACATTTGTTGAATATACACTCACAGCATCACAGAAGCAAAGGTTGGAAGAAACCTCTGGAGGTGTCTAGTCCAACCTCATGCTTGGGCTAGGACTACAGCCAGCACTGGATCAAGTAGCCTTGGCTTTGTCTACCAAAATGCTGACCTTTAAAAATGAAGCTCTCTCAGCCTCTCTGGGTGCCCTGTTGTAGAGCTGCACTATCCTGCTGGTAAAGAAGATTTTTTTTTTTTTTAAATATGTTCAAGCTGAACCTCCCTACCTGCAATTTGTCACGATTGATCCTTATTACATTCTGCCAATATATACTGCCAATAACAATGACAGTTTGGCTCTGTCATCTCATAGCTAGACAAATCGCTCTACCTTTCCTCACAGTTCATGTGCTCTAGGGCCAGAATTAGAGCTATAGGCAGAGAAGTACTTGTAGATATTGCTATAAATGCTTCTGCAACAAATCAAGCCTTGCCTAAAGTCACAATTTCATCAATACCTCCACAAAAGGCACAGATAAGACCAGAGTGCTTGCAATACTACTTGAGAACTACAGCATGGACTGACTCAATTTGGTGCTGACCATCTCCACGCCAAACTCCCAGGGATCCTGAGAATTTTGTGAAGAAGAGTGTGAGCAAAGTAGTGATTCAACAGATGTTGTTTCCATGTGTGGATTAGCACTAACACGAAGAAATGTCAGTGACAGAAGTACTTGCTCCAAATTCAATGTCATATCTCACTTTCTGTGGAAAACTAGAAACCAGAGCAGAGAACATGAGAAACTGAAATTCACAGGAACAATATTCTGATCTGTCAAAACCTTGTCCTTGCAGCAATAAATATATTTGATGCACCTCTCATAGCTGAACACAATACAATGGCAAACGTAGAATTCAGTGGATTCATCAGTGCCAGTGCTTATATAAAACATCTTAACAATGTTGACTTTTTAAGTGACTTACTTAAAATACCACTTCAGAACTTTGGCTGCTGCTGCTTCGAGAAGTCTCTTAGTTGATGTTAACAAGGGAGACTGAAAAATTGCTTTCTTCTTACTAAATGACAGACATGTAATCAGAGATGATAGTCTCTCTCTCCCTGAACAACATGTTGCAGAATCAAGAAAGCTCTAATTACAAGTATAAAGTCTGTATTATATAAATTAACACTAAAATTTTCATTAGTCAACAATTTTAATTGCATTTATTAGGACTGATGGTATTAATAAGAGATGCTGCTATTTAAAAGCCAGTGCAGTGAAAGCTATCTCAATCAGTAATCTTTCTGTGAATATAAATTTCTTTTCAATACCTCTGCTGTGAAATTTTCCAAGAAACTTAGACCGACAACAATATATCACTGTTTCCAAGCAAAAGGAGTAAAAGCAAGAATGGTACATTGGGACAGCAGATGGGTACTACACATCAACCTGTGTAGCGTGGCTATTTTTGTCAACATAATGAAGAATACATTTGTCAATTAGAGTTGTCATGGAAATTGAGAGAGACAAAAAACATTGATCAAAATAAAATATGATCAAAAGGGCTGGAGGACTCCAGTTCTCTCCGCAACCCACACTATAATCATTTCTGATGGCTGGAAACAGGAGGGTCTTGAGTTTGTATCTCAAAATGAGACCTTGCCAGCAAAACAGGTCTCTTCACACCATGTCAAGGCAAGGATCATTGTTTTCTCAGAGAAAATGATTTTTCATTCACTGAACCACAAACAACTTGCTTTATCACTTTGGTTTTCTTTGACAGTTTCTCGTCTAAGTCAGAACCAGCTTTAAACTGGAGCTGATATGTCAGCAGATCTGTGAATTTCACACATTCACAAATGCAAAGTACTCTCTTTCCCCCCACTGTTGTAGGAAATACAACATGTATCAGCCATTGGCTTTGAGAATGAAATCCTAGTTGCCATTGCAGAGCAACTGCTGGTGTGCTTACAAGGTGTCCTTAACACACGGCCCTTCAGACAGTCAATGAAGGGCCAGAAGTGAAAGGGGATCTTTGCAAAGAGACAATGTCTCAGGGGGACAGGGAGAAGTCCCAGGCAGATGGGCACAATAAGGAAATGATACACTCAGTTCCTCCTCACTGCTTGCTGCCTCCAGAGGATGGGCTGAGTCTTTAGTGAAAAGAACAACTTCAAAGGTCTGGTGTCATTGCTACTGCATGCAATTTATCTCCTAATGCCTGATACGCTACAACAAGCTTTTGTAAATTTATTAGAGAAAACACTTGCTCTTATCACTACAGGCAGCTATTCTAAGGATACCATCTGGGCAAAACTGGCCCCAAGTTTAGGCATTGCTTCATAAGTTTTTATAAAATCTAAAAAAAAAAGGGAAATTATCTCCATGTTTTCTTCCCCTTGGCTCTAAAGGAAATTTTTCTTACAAAAAAAGATTGGTTTGTATTTTAAACTATTTCCATAATTTAAAATACTCTGCCCCAGAGTTATCCAATATGAGAACAGCTCTGAGGCAAGGGAAGTCAAAACATCTCCTCATTACCATGCTCTGCGCTGACATAAATAGTGTGGAAAATAATACAGTGCAAGTAAAACCAGTGCTGCCAGAGCTTCTAACACCTATTTACCAAGTTCCCCAGCAGCCATGAGAGTGGTTTCTAAAAAGAGATAATAAAGTCATAATAAAAAAAAGTGAGGCTTTTTTTTAAAAAGCTATCCCTACTTTTGAGTCTTCAGGTTATACCTGATTCATACTTTCAGACTTAGCTCCTTATGTATCTTGCTTTTTAAAAAAAGAATCCTCTGCTTAAAAAAATGAGGTCTATAAGGAGCACACTGAACATCAAATGTCTGTCTATAAAAATCACACAACTTGACAACACTGGAAAGAAATTATATTTCATATTCTCACAGTTTTAATAATCTGTGAGATGATTAAATCCTAACAATTAGTCATGATTTCACTTGCAA